AAGGCGGGCGCTGTATGCACATCATGCACGTGCCTGGAGATATTTATGTGTAGATACACACCCAGGCACATTTGTGGGTAGATGTAGATACAGAAATAGATGTATATCTCTGCATGTATGCATGTTCACACATACCTGCATACCAAAGTGTCTGTAGGTGTGTGCATATGTATGTACAGTATGTGTACACAAACACACCGATGTACACATGTCTGTGCTTCACACATGCTATATATATGTATTTGTATGTGTGTATATATACATGTGTGTGTGTGTGTATATATATACACACACACACTTATACGTATGCTTCACACATGCAATGAGTGTATGTGTCTATATAGACACATACACATAGATATGTATCTGTACTTCTTCATGCATTCATTATACGTGTGTGTGTGTGTGTATATATACAGATACATATAGATACATACACTATATATGAGTGTGTGTGCGCGCGCGCGTGTGTGTGTGTGTATATACACACACCTATATACATGTGTCTGTATGCTTCTTTGTGTGTATATGCTTGTCCACAGCTCCAATACACACATACATACGCATGTGTGTGGCAGGGTGTAGATGTGGTTCAGGAGATCCTGGGGATATGTTTATCTGTTGGTAGGTGGAAATCATGGGGATATGTGTGTACGGATATCTATACATACACACATATATATTGCATGTGTGTAGAAGCACAGATACAGGTGTGCAGAGATATGCACGCACACACCAATCCGCACACCCCTACAGATATATGAGCACACTGGTATATGTGAACACATATGCAGATGCACAGACCGGCACATATACACATCCAATACTATCTGCACAGGCCCACACTCCCAGGCCAGCCCCTCCCTGTTCGCCAGTGCAGAGGTAGGTCCAGCCGCTCCACAAGAGCAGCCTGAAACCTGCTGGAAGAGAAGAGAAAGCAGCTGGGGAATGGGCTTTGACTCCTACCCCCTAGCCCTCCATCCATTGCTGGCTGGGGTGGTGCAGGCAGGGGGGGATCCTGCCTTGGGGAAGGTGGGGAATGGGCTAAATGAGCCCCTGAAGTGATGGGGATGGGGACCTCACTGGTCCCACTCGTGTGCAGCCTGCCTGGCCTTGGGCTACCATCAGGAGACAGCTCGGAGGGACAATGGGCTTAGCATGGAGAGGCAACCCCCGCTGCTCAGGACCGCACCTCCCTCCTGCTCTCCAAGGCTGGCTCCTGAGAGCTCCCTGAGCACTACACCTGGAGAGAGAGGTAGCCCTTCCTCCCTTCCTGGGCTGGGCTAGAGAGAGAAGTGAACCCAGTCCTTCCCACTCTGTCCCCCAGCCAGCCAGTGCCTAATATCTAGCAGCTCTCCTGCCATCTGCTCTGTGCCTTGCTTTGGGCATTGCCTGTGCTCTCTGGCACACCCCTAGCTGGCAGTACCATACCTAGACTCCTGGCAGCACTGAGCAAACTTTCAGTATCAGGCCCCCCTTCACCAGAGATAATGATAATAATAATTGGACAACAGAAAAAAACCCAAACATTTTCACCCCCTTTCTGTCCAGGTCCTGGGCAGCCATCTGGTTCACCCATGCCTGTGTCCAGCTCTGCTGGCTGGCCATACTTAACACCCCTTTAGGGGTGGAATTGCCTGCCCCTGGCTTGGCTTCCCCAGCACCTGGCTCTGAGGTACTGTCTAGCCTCAAACACCTCCTACCAGGCCAGTTGGTACGTGGAGGCATCAGTGCCACGTGCACCAGCCAGGGCAGGGGGTACTGGAACCTGGAGGCTGCCAGGCCTAGGAGTCCCACAAGCTGGAACCTGCATGGTGGTCAGCTTCATGTACATAGCCCAGGTACATAAACAATCAAAGCAGTCATTTTCTCCTCCCATGAAAAGAGGTAGGACCCAGTTGCTCATCTATCTGCTGGAAATACAGAGGGGTGCAGACAGGAGTAGCTCCAAATCAGTGCTTCACAGGGCAAGGAGGAAAAACTCTCTGCTCTCCTACATTGGTGTGCACAGGTCTGTTGGTGATGGCTGGGATAGGGTCTGGGGGTCTGGATAGGGGGTGAAGCAGATTGTAAGATACATGGGTACTGCCCATGAATTAGTGCTGCCTCAGGGCGGGATCTTCCTCTTGTTTAAAGCAGCATAGTACCACAGCCTTCACAGGATGGAGCCTTGCTGGTTTTCACCCACCAAAACTCTGGACCTGGGGCTTGGAAGAGTAATTGACCTGCCCACTCCTTTGGGGCTTCACAGGCACATTGTGAGTATGGAAAGGGGTAGTCAAAGAGTCTGGCCTGATGCCCAGCAAATATTTATGGCTCCAGGAGGCCTCCATACCATGGGTGGTTTGTTATAACACTTCACTATTTTTTTCTCCTCTACCCTAAACAGTATTTGTTATCTCTGGTGAAAACCAGTCTCACAAAGCATCTGTGCATGCACACACACATACACAAAGCCTATTTTCATTTCAGTTCTAAGATTTAGTAAACTTTACACTCTCAAGAGAAGAAAGGTACAAAGGAGCAGGGCTGAGATCTAAAATTTCCCACTAATGTTAAAGAAGCCAATGCCCCAGCAAACCTAGGCTTTGCTTCCTGCAATGATCAGTTTAAGCAGCAGAAAAAAAAAAATCTCTGGGTTTGCTCCATGGCATCCAGCTCTGCCTGCAAGGATTCTCATTAAGGCAGACAGAGTTGCTTTCATGCACATTTACACTGCTGTCAGTTGTAAGGCTCCTACTAATTTCTGCGGGAACCAGATTGGGCCTTCTGTAACTGCTAGCATAAATAAAAGCTACAGAGTTTGCCCCACTGAAGCCGATAAAAGAACCAAGCCCCATGTCCCTCCCTTGTCATGATCAGGCTGGATATCATCTCAGAGAAGTCCTGTGCTCAGCATGGTTTCCAGTGTTACACAAAGGCAGCTGATGACAGAGTCTCTGAAAAGAGATTCAAACAGAATCCTGATCTATTAAAAACAAACAAACAAAAAAATCCCTTTTCCATCTTCACCCAGCCCTAGCTAGATGCTGATTAAAAAAAAAACCAGAAAAGGCTTGCGGCTCTTTTTCTTCCACCTTTCAAACTACGTTTGCCACCCAATGATTTGCTGCCTATAATTTCCCTTGCTTACTCTTCCTATCCCCTCCTGCAGGCTTTTCCAGCCCTTAATTACACTCATCAGTTTCAGCAAATGGGCTTTGTTTTCCACTGTGATCCCCTTGCGCTTGGCAGGATACACAAGGAAGCACCTGTTGTCTGGTTATAGAGAGAAACACCTGTCAATGGAAACACTAAGTAGTGACATGGGAGCTGTCAATAAGCAAAGCCTGGGAGACTTTCCTATTGACAGCAAACACCTGTTTGGGGCTATTGGAGACTGAAGACAGCTTATTGACTCCTGACAGAAGTTGTCAATACAAGATTCCCTCCCTACCAAAGCCTGAGAGCTGAGACATGCAACATCTGGCAAGAAGGGCAAGCATCTTACCAGATTGGACATATTCTCTCAAACAGGATACAGTACTCTAGCCTGGTAATATGCTTCCTGGCTCATGACAAGCCTTTGTTATATATGGGAAGAGCTGGTGGTTTTAGAAAGAATTTAGTTTAAACTATCAGTAGCTGTGTGGTGGCAGATAGTTATTATGACTTCAGAGTTTTCCAGAATACTAATGTATGGTTAGTAGAAAACCATAGTTGCTAATCAGCAGGGAGTCTTGTATGTGCAGCACCTAGCACCATAGGGACTGCTCTTGGTCAGTGCCTAGGCATTATACAGAAGCAACATGACCAATAAAATAACTAATAATGACAGAGCCTCAGTCTAACTACTTAGTTGTCTTTCTAGCTATCTGCTTACTTCTTTCTGACTTGTCTCTGTCACCTACCCAGCATTCTGTTCATCCATGTCTCTGCTCTCTGTCTCGCTGTCTGTACATGCATGGTTCTGAAAAAAATAGCAATAATAAACTTGAAGAGCAGCCTTATTGCCCTGGTTATCTAAAGCCTTTTTAGAGAGCAGTTCAGAAAGCATACCAAATAGCTCTGACCAGCTGATTGCAAACTGGGCCTCCTGCTTGCTGAAGAGCACCCCTCAGACCTTGGGCCCCTTTGAAGGTCAGGTGCACAGAGCTCTGTCTTTAAAAGATGCAAGAGAGTAGATCAAGTTCCACAGCCTTCCTAGCGCACCTTCCCCCCCTTGCTGCAGCTGCTGATGCTTTAAGGAAGGGGAACTGCAAATCCCTGTGTAAATCCCCTCCCTGAACAGCCTGCCTTTGCCCCTCACATCCCTGATCCAGGTCTTGCTCTGCCTAGGACATAACACATCTCCAGTGGATGGTGCAGAATAACGGAGGATGGGATAGGAAATCTACCACACAAAGCTGCTCATCTGTTTACAAAAAACTAAGCAGCATCTTGAAGTGGCTCAAGCAGTTTTACACCAGTCTTTTAAATTACATCCAGCAATTTCTCCTGTGGTGCAAGCACAGCAGAGTTTGCAAGATCAGAATTAATGCAGTTACATTTGATTTAAGCCAACAGGAAAGAAGGAAAAGGAAGTTAGTTATTAATGCCACTTAGTTATTAATGGTTAATCTCGATTCCTTTAATGTTGCCCAATTAAGAATATAAGAGAATAAACTGGCACCATTTAAGGACATGAGTTGTTCAACATATGAATCTTCTATTGTAAGATTCTGTTTTGGCTGTATATGTACAAGAATCTGGATCTGGAAAGAGATTCCTAAATCAGATACAATTGTAAACTGGAATTGCCTCCAGCTAACACCAACCCACACAGACATAGAACAAGCGAACCCATTTAAGGGGCAAATGCTACTGTCTTGAAGCAAGCAGAACCCTTACAGACTTGAACTGATTGTGAAAGCACTGGGAATTTAGCCAGCCTGAAGAAACAGTGGGGGAGGAGTCCCCAAGCTAAGACATGCTTTGAAATACCAAACACAGGTTTGCATTTTCAACTATTTTCTCCAACCAAGTGATTCTTGTCATTGCTGAGAGTATTTAAAGACAACAGGAGTCATTGGAGTGTCATCTCCTCTGACTCAAAAAGTCCTGCAACAGGTGCTGGGGCTTTCAGGGTGTATAAATCTGGAGAATTAACTTGTCTATGCTTTTGAAACAAATTAGCTGCGTCTGGGCTTCAGGTTACCATTACAAAATACCTTTTTATTGGCCTTACTGCTGCTGTCGCATAATGAACTATTTGCCCTTAACTACAACCAGGGCTTTGCAGAGTTTGACTATAACATTTAGCAAGGAGGAAAGATATTGTATTGCAAATCTATAGACTATGGGGAAGCCAGCTTTTAGGAGAGATGATAGCCAGCAGCTGCAAAGGGAGCTTGCTCCCTTTCCCATCATAATTCACCAAGGTATACCCATCTGGGCAAAAGACAAAGTTATTTCAATGCTAGCATGTGGTGTAAGGGGAAGAGATCCCTTTAGATATAATACATCTCTTTTAGTTGAAGAATCAAAGGCCTGATCTGAATCCTGCAGAAGTCAATGGAAAGTCCTGTGGGTAATGGATCAGGCCCATCAGTCTCTCTAGGGACAGCCACAGCTATAAATTAACAGAGGTGATTGCATTTGCTGATGCGTAGGGAAGTGACAGGTTCCCCTTCTGAACACAATGGTGCTGAAGTTTTGCAGGCTTGGAAATAATGATTACCCCTTGTTCTCCCATTACTGGAGTAATAACCCTTAGCCACTTGCATCATGTGCTTCACTAGTGATAGCAGCCATATTTCTTCCATATAACAAAAGCAACTGTCATGTAGTGCCATGGTGCAGAATGAGACCTCAGAGTGACACTCCATTTGTCAGGCTGATAGAGCACAAAACATATTCTCCCCTTTCTAAGGCAGTTTGCTGATCCCTTTGCATCTACTAAAGCCAAGACAGAAAGTTCTTTTCACATTAGGAAATCCTGAACTAGAGCATCTCAGCCAAAAAAAGTTCATTATTATAACTCCTCTTGCACTCTCCCAGATTTAAAGCAGGTAACAGCTCTTATGTCTAGATCACAACTTTGCTACTGCTGATGCTTTAAGGAAGGGGAACTGCAAATCAGTTCAGGCACATAAAAACTGGCTTGGCATGTCAAGGTACAAAATCGTGCTCAGTATAATTACTGGTACAGCCTCAGCTTTGATTTAAGAACCTTTGTTTATTTCTTTGATTAAGCTGATTTTAACTGTCTTATTTCTTTACTGTTTCATTTGGGGCCTGCTCCAAAAGCTCATTTTGTGGTCAATGGGCTTTGAGTCAGGGATGAACTGTCTTAGAGTCTCATGAATGCTGCCTAATCTCTACGTTAAGTGACTCAGAGCTACTGTCACACACTATGAATTGCATGAGCAATAAGGCAAAAGTGTGTGTCAATGTAATTGGATTTAAATAGGAAGGTGAAAGTCTAGCATATAAGAAATGGCAACGCCCCTGGTTGACGTACATGCAAAGTGTGGTATTGTGTGGTGCTTTTTAATAAATGTATTAAAATTATTATTTAAAATAAAAATTATCATAGCAATAGATATACCTACACATATAAACACATTGTGCATACACATATACATATATTCATGCACCAGTTGCACATGTATGCATACATGCAGATGTGGCCTGGTGTCTTTTTAATAGTACTTAAATACTGACTGATTAACATACACAGATTTTAAATAAGTATGGCATAGTAGAAGTCATTGCCAGTATGTTGGTCTAAAATACATGGGAATGAGATCAGGATCAGACATAGAATATTTGGTGACAACTTTTAAACTTGTACAGGAAGTGTATTAGCTAAAAAAGATCTCAGTGAAAGTTCTTTATTATTCTTCAAATATGAGCTCTTTAATTCCAGCTTCACTAAAACTGAATGTAAAATTTGCAAAGGCACAGTCCTGCATAGTAAAACAATTCTTGGTTTTACAGCACAAGACCCTGGATAGAACCTTTGCAAGTCAAGCAGACAAATGTGCACAATACACTAATAAAAAAATCAGCATAATATTTTCAGAGTATCAACAGAACATTTAATGGGCAAGTTGTTCCTTTAGATTGGTACCTGTTATTGTTACTGACTTCAAATGGATTTACATGGAGCCAAATTCTATGCTCTAAGTCCAAAGAAGACAGTTTGGGAACTTAAATTCCTAGGCTTCGTTACATTTACAACAGATATTTAAAGCAAGGAACAGGTAGGCATTCGGTCATTTTATTGTGAAGGAAAAGAGATTTGTCCAACTATTAAGTGCTCTAAAACCATGCTCTCAGATATACTCCCAAGCAGTTTTTCATGTGAACTGTGTTTTCTGCCATCTATGAAAAGTGTGACACGAAATGCTGAATGATTTTGCAAGCTATTCTGCTTTATTTATTGCTGCCATGTAGATCCATTGTGATTCAGAGCAAAAATCATTATTCATTCTCAACTTCTCACTTGATTAATATGTTTTCCATAAAACGGCTACTTTAATTCAGTGTGTGTGTGTGTGTGTGTGTGTGTGTGTGTGTGTGGAGGTTGACAGCAAGTTCAGAGGAACAATTGCCATTGGAACTTTTCTAAAATGATCAAGATAATATAACAAATTAGTCTGGATCACTATTCTTTGAAAGTTTTATCAGAAGAGAAAAACAGACATTGCATTTCTCTGGAGAAAAAGCTTCTTGCCTTGGGATCCTACAGATATCCTACAGAGAACCTACAAAGAATGGGATCCCAGGATCCCATTCTCCCATTTTAACTACTTGTGAAATATGCAAGATGAAATATGCTTACGGTTTTTTGTGAGGAGAAAGCTGTATGGTGGTGGCTCATTCAAATACTCCCCAGACTGCTGTGCTCACAGCTCTGGTTGCGCCATATACACACTCTGCAGATGTGGATTATTATTAAAGTATATTCTTAATATACATTAGTGTTAATGTACATTATTATATACATTATTAAAGCAATGATCCATTATTAGTACAAACTGAAAGCTGGCCAGCTATTTGAGGACTTGTTCATCATCATCTCTAAATTTCTATACTTAGAATCTGGCAGGTCTGTAGCTCACCTAGTTCACTATGCTGCAAGATACTACTCAAGTTATGAAAATAATCCATCAAAAATATGTATATTTTAAAAGAGCAGGAGTTAGATGCCATCACAGTGGAATATTGTGGAAACCAAGGGAAGTATGTAAATCATTTGAAAGTTAAACAAGAGGAATAAACAATAAATGAAGCCTATGTGTTTTTTAAGGACTGTTAGGGCTCAAGGTTACAACCTTCATTTATGGAAGGTGCTCTTTTCAATGACTTCAGTGAGTACAATACAATGAGAACATATGACACTACTTTTGTTCATTATTGCTGCAAGAGGAGGACTCATGACAATTGCAGGCTCAGGTCCCAATTCTGCAAAGCAGTGGTTTTCAAACTTCCTAAAGTCATGAACCCTTTCATATCACTTCTTTTGTCACAGAAGCCCTACCCCAGGCCAGAAGCCCTACCCCTGACTCAGAGCCAGGCAACCTAGCCCAATAATGGTAGTGCACCACCTCTCAGCCCACTCTGCCATTACCCCCAGTCTCTTTGTGGAACTCCAGATGATAGATTGCAGCAGGCACACCTTCACACAGCCTCAGCCTGTTCTGGCAAGCCTTGTGTTCGCAGCTCTCCCTGGTTCTGCTGACTTCTGACCTGCCTTTAACTTTTTCTTTTGTCTTCCCTGAATCTCGGCACTGGTTCTGCTCTCTCTGGTTTTTCTGGTATTCTGATTCAGCTTGGCTTCCTTGACACTGATCTGGGATGTTCCCTAGAACTCACCACCCATTCTCTAACCCCTGGTTCCTGACCTTGGCTTACATCTCAGGCTATGTCTTTTGGACCGCTCCTTTTGGCTCTGGTAACCTGTGCCCCTGCCCTGCTAACCTCCGTGTTGTCCCCCAGGTCCTATCCACAGCCCCAGCCACCTGCATCCTGGCCAAACCCTCATGTAAACACTGAGCCAGATCCTCACGTGGTATAAGTTAGCCTAATTCTACAGATTTCAATGTTCAGATAAATAACACAGCCAAGCTTAGCAATATTAAGCCCTGCATCAGGAATTCCCTCAGAGCCAATGCAAGTTTGTGCAAGTGCTAGGATGAAATTGTAATGGGACTTTGTTTCAGGGT